CACTAAAACAATCATACCTCCCAAGCGTCATGTATCTGATGGAGATGGTGCTGGAGGGAAACTCATAGGATGCAGCTATAAGAAAACACATACTCTATGCTAATTTCTCTCTAATTTATGCTTTCATCTTTCAAGTAAATCCATAACCCCTAACAGCAGTGTCCAGTGAAGCAGGAAGTCAATGGGCGGGGTAAAAGGGTGGGCCACTGGTGCGAATCACGTGACAAGACCTGCCAAAAGGGGTGAACATGCCCAAAAAGGGGGAATGTTTGTCCAAAGAATTGGAAGGTCAGCCTGGCATGAATGCATGTCAGGCTGCCTGCCAATCCTGCAGGCTGTCCAACTAAGGGCATACTATGCAGGCAGCACCCTAAGCGTGGCATAAATGCGTCTAATGATGCGCTCACTCCATTCTTTCTAAGGACTGTCCCCTAGCACTCGCTGGTCCACTTATCTCCTTACCTTCTTACTAGCAGGCAGAAGTTCCTGGTATAGTCTGAGACAGAGAAAAGGTGTCTGTAGTGAGTGTAGAAGAATGGGGACATGCCACAGTGTTAGAGAGACCAACGTCTGCATTACCTAAACTAACTTTAATGTCAGCCAGTGCACACAAGTTTTGTTCCCATACATCCCTCTTAAGCTTCCAAACTTAAAGGGACACTATAGTCACCAGAACAACTACAGCTTATTGTATTTGTTCTGGTAAGTAGAATCATTCCATTCAGGCTTTTTGCAGAAAACACTGTCTTTTCAGAGAAAATAACTCCACTGGCCGCTCCTTAGATGGCTGCTAGAGGTGCTTCCTGGGGCAGTACTGCTAGTGTGCAGCACTGCCATTCAGTGTCTCCACCCTCTGCATGCAGACACTGAACTTTCCTCATAGAGATGCATTGATTCAATTTATCTTTATGAGGAGATGCTGATTGGCCAGGGCTATGTTGGACTTGTGCTGGCTCTGCCCCTGATCTGCCTAGTTGACAGTCTCAGCCAATCCTATGGGGAAGTATTGTAATTTGCTCAGACCACCACTTCTGAGCCAGCAGCTGCAGAATTGAATACAAGTAATATTCTACTATATTTAGGGAGGGAAGAAGGGGCCAGGGTGGTGGTTTTAACATAATAGGGTAAGAAATACATGATTGTGTTCCTGACACTATAGTGCTCCTTTAAGCAAGAGTATGCAAAGAGTAGTTAAGGTTGCCACCTTTCTTGGAAAAAAATACCAACCTTAATCATTTGTATAATTAATTAGTTATGCGTGTAAATCACAAGGAGTGAAAATTCTGTAAAATCACCAACAAACTACTCACAGTTTGATTCTGCTGTATAGACGGATTGCTCCCAGTGTCTCCCTGTCTCCCAGTGTCTCAGTCTCGCAAGTCACCCAGTGTCTCAGTGTCCCTATGTATCACAGTGTCAGTGTCCCCATGTCACCCAGTCCCCTAGTCTCCCAGTGTCTGTGTCCCCATTTCTCCCAGTGTCCCGATGTCTCAGTGTGTCCCCATGTCACTGGGGACACAGAGACATGGGGACACTGAGAGACCCGGGGACACAGAGACATGGGGACACTGGGAGACATGGGGACACTGAGACATTTAGGGAAACTGGGAGAAATGGGGACACTGAGACACTAGGGACACAGACACTGGGAGACATGGGGACACTGAAACATTTGGGGACACTAAGACACTAGGGACACAGACATGGGAACAAAGACACTGGGAGACTAAGGGACACTGGGAGACTAGGGGATACTGGGAGACTAGGGGAAACTGGCTGGGAGACAGATACTTGGGGAGACATGGGGACAGTTGTGGGCATAGACATGGGGACATTGGGACACATGGGGACACTAGGCACACAGAGACATGGGACACAGACACTGGGAGACTTGGGGACACTGAGACACTAGGGACACTGGCTGGGGGACATAGTGTCTCCGTGTCCCAATGTCTCCCAATGTCCCTATGTCTCACAGCGTCCCCATGTGTCCCCTAGTGTCTCAGTGTCCCCATGTTTTCCAGTGTCCCCAAGTGTCTGTGTCCCCAGGTCTCACAGTGCCTGTGTCCCCATGTGTCCTAGTGTCTCAGTGTCCCCTAGTGTCTGTGTTCCCATGTGTCCCCTAGTGTCTGTGTCCCCATGTGTCTCAGTGTCCCCTAGTGTCTCAGTGTCCCCATGTTTTGCAGTGTCCCCAAATGTCTGTGTTCCCAGGTCTCCCAGTGTCTGTGTCCTAGTGTCTCAGTGTCCCCTAGTGTATGTGTCATCATGTGTCCCCTAGTGTCTGTGTCCCTTAGTGTCTCAGTGTCCCCATGTGTCCCCTAGTGTCTCAGTGTCCCCATGTGTCCCTGCTGCCTTTCCCCCCCATCCCTCACTTACCTGAGCTGTAGAGCTGCTGTCTGGACTCTCTGTGCTGTGTAGCTGCTCCCCCACGGATCAGTGAGTAGTAGAGAGAGGCAGGGATATTCTGTAACTTCCTATCCCTGCCTCTCTCCACACACAGTGACCCCTACTGGCCGGTGCTGGTATTGCAGAGTAATTTCCATTTATTCTGAGAAAATTACCTGCATTTGTATTGCTGGTATTACTGCAATACCGGCATGGCCAGGCAGCCTCAAATACCAGTCTGTGCCATTAAAATACCAGTCAGGTGGCAAACCTAAGAGTAGTGTGTAAAAAAACTAAAAAAAAAAAAAAAATTTTTTTTTTTTTTTAATGGGCCTATTCCATGGGCCTGGGCCTGGAGCTGCAGCTCCATCAGCCCCTATGTTAATCCGGCCCTGTGTGTGGCAGTGCACATGTATTTGTGAATAGACATTTACATGCAATTACCATTATTACACACAAACACAGCCTGCATTCAAGAGCAACGATACACAAAAACAGTCCTGGATTCAAACACCATATCTACATAAACAATCCCCTACATTTACATCCAAACATTAGACATACACTCCCCCGCATTCAAACACTAACACTACATTGCATTCAAACACCAACATCCCTGTATTTAAATGCCAACAGAAACAGACTCCCTGCATTCAAGCATCAGCATTTTACACAAATGCACAAACATTCACAAAAACACCATGCAAAAACATGCCTACGTTCACAAATAACGCAGAACCCTTCAAGCAGATCCACAGCTGGCAATGAATTAATTAAAAATTCAATGGAAATTCTGCAATTTTTACTTTTTCTCGAAAACTCATTGCAATGAACTTTTTATATGCAGGTTTCAGTTTATTAATATTTCTGCTGACTGCAGTTATGAAACATGTTAGTGTGACTCAAATAGGAAACAGAATGAGGAACCAGTTTGGATCAGGAAGTCAGGTGCAGTCTGGGAAATACTACATCGTTCTAGATCGAGAGACAAAAGAAATGCACTACTTAATCAGAGTAATTTACCAAAGTGAGATTTGTTGGGGATTCAATGTGAATTCAAACTAAATTCACTTTGAATTTCCAACATATATCACTTTAGTAAAAAATGTATTTTTAAAAATCAGTGAATGCAACAGACATGTAAATATTTTATATGCATTAAAAATGATGTGTATAATTTTTTTTGTATTATTATTATAATGATCGAATATATACGGTATTTGAGCCTCATTGGCTTTTTATATTTAAAGTGGTGAAGTGGTGTGGGAGCAGTGATCCGGTCATTTCAACTCTGCAACCCTACATTGCGGGGTTAGAGGGAAACTATAGTGCCAAGAAAGTTGTTTTCCTGGCACTATAGCTCCCTATAGTGCCCCTCTCTCACTCCCCACCCCCTTTTCCGTGGTGCAGAAGGAGTTAAAAACCCCTCTGTCATTTACCTGAGTCCGTCGGAGCTCCTCTCCTCCCACGGTCAACTGAAACTTAATGCACATTTGTGGCCGCGCTCACATTAGTATTTCTGCTATAGGAAAGCATGTATAATGCTTTCCTATGGGGTTTTGGGTCATGCTGTATGTCCTCATGCATAGCGTGAGTACGTCTAGCCTAACAACCTGGAGGTTGCTTTGGTGACTGCCTGGTAGACAGCCACTAAATAAGGAGTTAGCCCTTAAAGCTAATTATTGCAGTTTATTAAAAATTGCACCCTGCACCCAGACCACTTCAATGAGTTAAAGTGCTCTGGGTGCCTATAGTGTCCCTTTAAATCCTCATCTAGTGGCTGTATTCCTGACAACCACTCAAGGTGCTTCCTCCTCCAGAACAAATAAAAATTGGTTTGGGAATCAAATGCTTCTGATAGCAACATTTGATTGGAGGAGTGCAGAGTTTTGCCGTGCATGCGTCCAATGTCTATAAGAAGCAATAGTTTGGAGATCACAAAGACGTCAGCAGGCATGCTGACGTATTCGACGGTGGAGCGGACAGTTGAGGTGGAGGAGTCCCAGGGCTGTAAACGAGGTAAATAATCTCTTATAAACTTTCATATTTTTCATCCTCAAAGTGGGTTGATAGAAGGTAACCTATAGTCCCAAAATAAGGATTGTTGTTTATGGGACTATTTATTTTATTTAAAGTCTGCCTATAATGTCTGTCTGTCTGTCTAACTCAGGTCCTCTCTGTCTGGGCTATTACTAAAAAAATAAATAAAAAAAAATTAAGATTTTTAAAAATGTCTATATATGAAATATGATATATATATTTATATATAAAATGTATGTATAACATGGGAATTGTAAATAATTCAAAGTGAATTTTACATAAGGACCAAACTTCTGGAATAAAAGGGAATCATGACATGTCATGTGTCCTTAAGGGGTTAAGGCAAAAATAGCTGAATTGGAAAAATTCTCTAAGTCAGGTATACTGCCAGTTTGGCTATTTTGATCTAAAATTAAATTTACTTTTGAATTCCCCACAATTCTCAAATAAAGAACTGTCTTTCTCTAGTATATCTGACTCTCCATCTCTGGTGTGTCTCTATATCTGTCTGTCAGTTTCTCTGTCTGTCTCTCTGTGTGTCTGACTCCCTGTCTCCCTGCATGACAGAAAGATGATGAATACATTGTAATCAGCACACAGGAAGATAATAATTATCTCTGAGCAGTAGGACTATTTGTATAATGTGTGCAGCCTGTGATTGGCTGGCGATGATGTCACCCTGAGAGTGGCTGGGAGGAGGGGGCTGATTCTTGTCATCCAGTGACACAGTCTGCAAACACAAGATGCACACACGCCGACACAGGCTCACACACAAAGGACATGCACAAACAGAGACACGCACAGACCAGCTATGCATAAATGAATCCGGCTATACAGAAAACCTCAGCACTTGAGGAGGGGAGCAGCTGACAAAGGTACTTGTGTGTGTGGTTGAATGAAATGTGTGCTATACTATTATTTTTTATTATCATTTTGTACGTAAAATAGACAATAAGCAGTTATATTTGTTTGCATACTACAGAGTCTTTTTTGTCTGTGCAGAAACATGCATTTGTATTTTCAAGGCAATCTATGCAGTATATGTTGGGATTTAATACAGGGAATAATTGGTAATATTTGTTTGATTGTGCAGTTATCTGTGTCTGGCTCAGAATTTATTTACAATTTCATAATTCTGGGTATGTGTGCTTTATATGATGGTTATAATGCTGAACATGCACAAGTTATCTGTAGCTGGCTCAGCATATATTTACAATTTTACAATTCTGTGTTTGTGTGCTGTATATGAAGATTCTAATGCTAAATGTGCATATTATGTACTAACACAGACACAAACAAAACATACGCATATCACACTCACACACCGCATCTGCATGCTTGAATTTCCATGTTGCACCAAGTATGTGCCTAATTAACTTTGCAAGAGGTGCAGGCCATGTATGAACAGTGCAGTCACTTATTAACAGGTAGGTAGGTAGCCAGTGTGTTTATAGGGGATTGCAGAACCAAGAGAATGCAGACATGGGGAGCAAGGCACTGCAGTCTGCAGATATTGAAGCATAAAGCAAGCCAAGGAAGGAGCATAGGAGAGAGAGAGAGAGAGAGAGAGAGAGAGAGAGAGAGAGAGAGAGAGAGAGAGATTAAAATTAAAATGGGAAGGAGAGAGACAGCCAGAGAAGGTCATTCAGTGAGAGAGCGGAGAAAGATAGGGAGAGATAGGAGAGTAAAAGACAGATAAAGAACTCTAGAGGAAAACAATGGGAATAATAGGGGATAGAGGAGAGAGAGACACACAGAAGAAGTGTATTTTGGAACACAAGGGGGAGTTTGTATGGCGCAAAGCTTTAATTCCTTCAAGCCATCTGCACCGCGGATATCAGGTTCTATTGCTTGCTCGATATCCTGAGCAAGTTATTATTATTTTTATAATTCATAATTCATATAGCATATCTCACAGCACTTTTCCATAGGGATATAAAATAACAGGACATATACGATTAACAAGAGATGAAAAGCACCTTCTATAGTGATCCTATAATCAAGAGGAGATGGGGTATTTAAATTAAAAAGGTAAAGTGCAGCATATTAAGGAGAAAGAGTATGCAATTATACCTGCATGTGTCGTGGGGTAAAAAAGCAGTGTTAGCAGTAACGGACAGCTGTATCTGGTAGCAGGCTTTTTGACGCCAGAAGATAATGGAAAATAGAGATTACGAATAGGATATAGTTGAATTAAATAAATATGATAGAGTGATATACATGTGCATAACCTTTATGTGAATTAGTTTTTTTCTTCTTTTTTTACACATTTAAGAAGTGTTATTTGCTGTATGAGAATTACTAGTCATTGTGTCAGATATAAATATGTTTTTGCCCTTTCCTCATATTTACTTTTCTCTCTAGAACCATGCCCCCTGTACCTCTAGAAGAACGTTCGGCTCCCTTGCCTCGTCCCCGATCCCTTCCTCTACGCACTACAGTATATCCCTGTCTAGCACCCGAGGTCAGAGGTCTACAACCAGGCCACCGTGCACCCTCTCATGCTGACCTCACTCTGCCTGGTCCTCTACCCCTTCTTCAACCAGCACGTTGGCCTAGGGAACCATGTTCCCGTCGAAGGGGTTCTCCCCCATCTCCCTCACCAAAATCTTCTTCATGCTTCCGATGGGCTCTTCACCCACTAAAATGTGGTTGCCGTGGTTGCTGGCGTCTCCTGCGTCCTCCGCGGAAATCTGTGGGTTCATCTTGCAGCTGCGACCCAATTGTGACTTTTGACCCGCAGTATTTTGGAAGTTCAAAAGTCAGCTATGATGAAGATGATGATTACAGTGTACGGGCTATTTGGCCTGATGAACTGGCGCGCAAGATGATGTCACGGACAAGAGGAGGGATGCTTGGGGGAGCACCACTGCTATTAGACTGCAGGGGACTAATGGGAATAGGGGTAGACGAGCCATTGCCACCACCACCACCTCCTCCACCAGCATCTCCTCCACCCTTGTCTCCAGCTAGGAATTCGGATCGTCGACTACAAAGTTTGTACCTTCTGCTGGAGCCCTTGAGTGAAAAGGAAAACACGGGAGAAGGGAGAGGTGAGTGCTTAATAAAAAGGTTTTAAGAAATCTGAGACGTTAGGGGCGGTAAAAATGAATGTATTGATTTGGATAGTGCTCTCAAAAAACTGCAAGTGGCTCCAATATAACAATTAATGCTAAAAGTAAATAAGACAAATAAGATAGTGAAAATGGTAGAGAAACCTATAAAAGAATGTAAAGAAACAGGTTGAAGGTTTGATAAGTACAAACGAAAGGTAAAATGAGAAACCAGTCATTTCTACACAGTCAGAATTGTAAGGAATAGAAGGGGAAGTTGGTGACGGGTGAGATATGTAATCCTAGGAGAGCTGTTTGTAAATTCTTACTCACGGAGTTGGAGCCAGGCTCTAAAACTGACTAACGCTTGGATACCTCACTTATGACATAATCCAAAAGGGACTCACAGATTAGTTCAGGAAGCAGGAAGTGGTGACACCCAGATTTTACTTAATTAATGCAATTACTCTGCCTGGAAGAATCAACTTATACACACCAAAGAAACAGTCATGTGTTTGTGACACATACCAGACACACGTGAATTAATTTAGCATGTAAGAACCATGATGTCAGCGAGTTTCCTGAATGAAAACTTCAATAGGCAATGTAATGTGTCTTAGAATGACAATTCAATGTTAGAGGGGTTTTGTTAGGGTTAGTAGTGCAAGCAAGATCGTATATGAACGAGGTCTTTAGTAATTTCAATGCAGTTGTTTTAATTTAGTTCGTTTAACACTTAGTCAATCATATTGGTGTATGTAAAAAAACAAAACACGATGGTAACTCCTGTCACAACTTTTGTTAAATATTCTGCTTTATTTGTACAAAAGATGATGTCTTCTGAGTGGTGTAGTTGAATATTACTTGCAGGATTATTTACTAAAGCGAGAATTTGAAGAGAATTTAAGGTCAAAATAGCCAAATTGGAAGAATTCTCCAACTCAGATATGTTTCCATTTCAGTTAATTTTTCTTTATATTTAAAATTTACTTTGAATTGTCATGTAAGTGAAAAACCCTGTTGATGACACAGACAAAATGAGTCTTTTCTTTACTGTCCAACTAACTCGTCATACACATTGCTTCCAGGATTGATTGAACCCATTGTTGATGAGTGTGTTATGCAAACGGAGGTGACGCCGGCGCCACCACTCTCTCCCGACATTGAGAAAACTGAGTTGAGCCTCATCTTGCCTTTCCTTTTTCTGGGCAATGAAAAGGACGCCCAGGACCTAGGGCGCATGGTCACCCTCAATATTGGGCATGTCTTGAACGTCACTACTCACCTACCCTTGTACCATGTGGAGTCAGGGGCTCTTCGATATAAAAGACTCCCAGCCACCGATAATAGCAAGCAAGATCTCCGGCAATACTTTGAGGAAGCCTTTGAATTCATTGGTAGGTGACAGGTTTTCTGCTTTGTTTACACTACAATGCCATTTTCATTGTAAAGAAATGTAACACAAGTGGACTACGAGACTCTGAGCTCCGAATTTAATAAAATTGCTCCTTTTTGGGAGCATGCTTGAGAATAGCCAGAGAATCATTAATTTAGACTATGTTTACATATCAATACGATTGAAGCTTTACAACAAAAACTTTATATGTTTATGAGGCTACCTCCAGACATGCTTCAATGAAAAAACGAGGCTATTCTATCCTAACTCATTATTCTGACTAGTGTTTGGATACATTAAGGATTGGTGGTTCCGCTGTAGATGGTGCTCGATAAATGAAAGAGCTGCCTGTCCATATGAATCCCATGAACAGTTAGTAGAGAATCTGTCTCCTATGAAAAGTATCTTTAACAGAAGTATAATATTCCCTCCTATTAAAGCATTTAACCCTTTGATTAATATATTTAATAAATAATAACTTTTAGGTTAAAATTATTCCAAAGTGCCATGTTGCTTACCCAGGGCCGGATTAACATAGGGGCTGATGGAGCTGCAGCTCCAGGCCCAGGCCCAGGCCCATGGAATAGGCCCATTGATTAAAAAAAAAAAAAAAAAAGGGTTGCCAGGTATGTCTCATGTATTTCTTATGGTTGCCAGGTATTTCTCAGAAGTATTTCTCAGGTATTTGAGGCTGCCTAGCCGGTGCTGGTATTGCAGTAGTAAACAGAGTATAAACAGAGATTATTCTGCAATACCAGCGCCAGCCAGTAGGGGTCACTGTTTGTGCGGAGAGAGGCAGGAATAAGAAGTTACAGCATCTGCCTCTCTCTACTCACTGATCCGCGGGGGAGCAGCTCTGCACAGAGGTCAGACAGCAACTCCGAGCCTGCGAGACATGGGGACGGTGAGAAACTTGGGGACGCAGTGTCCCCATGTCTCCCAGTGGCCCCTAGTCGCTCAGTGTCCCCATGTCTCCCAGCCAGCATCCCTAGTGTCTCAGTGTCCCCATGTCTCCCAATGTCCCTGGTGTCTCCCAGTGTCCCTGGTGTCTCTCAGTGTCCCTGGTGTCTGTGTCCCTAGTCTCCCAGTCTCCTAGTGTCTCAATGTCCCCTAGTATAAAAGAAAAAATCTCAGGCACTCACTGTGATAGATTTAAGCAGGTTTATTGGACAACGCAACATTTTGACCTGTACCTAGGTCTTTATCAAGTCTCCAGTGTCCCCTATGTATCAGGATGTCTCAGTGTCCCATCTCTCCCATTGTCCCTGGTGTCTATCAGTGTCCGTAGTGTCTCAGTGTCCTTAGTGTCTCAGAATTCCTAGTCTCCCAGTGTCCCCATGTCTCACAGTGCCCCCAAGTATAAAAGAAAAAACTCTCAGGCACTCACTGTGATAGATTTAAGCAGGTTTATTGGACACCTGTACCCAGGTCTTTATCAAGTCTCAAGGGTCCCCTATATATCACAGTGTGCCCTATGTATCACATTGTCTCAGTGCCCTATGTCTCCCAGTTTCCCCTCGTGTCTCAAAGTCACCCAGTGTCCACAGGTCTCCCAGTGTTCCCTAGTTTCTCAGTGTCCCAATGTCCCCCAGTGTCCCAGTGACATGGGGACACTGGGATACATGGGGACACAGACACTAAGGGTCTTGGAGACATGGGGACACAGAAATGCCCTCTTTTTGTGTATGTTCGTCCCTTTCGGCAGTTCTGGTTATGTGATTTGTGTCAGTGGCCCACCCTTTTACCCCATCCATAGACATTCTGCTTTACTGGACTCTGCTGTTAGAGGGTATGGATTTACTTGAAAGGTGAAAGCGTGAGATAAACATAGGATATGTGTTTTCTCATAGCTGCATCCTATGATTTTCCCTACAGCACCATCTCCATCAGATACATGACGCTTGGGAGGTAGGACTGTTTTAGTGTGTTTGGTCAATAAGATTATGTAATTAGGCCCATCATAATTGTCAGCACCAGGCCCACTGGGCTCTTAATCTGGCCCTGTGCTTACCTCTCTGAAACAAAAGTATAAAAAGTTAATTCCCTTTACAATCCCTTTAGAAATTAAACAGCTTATATCTGATGTATGCACCCTACTTGTGCTGTCAGAGACAGTTAGAGTTGCTAATATTGAAGATATTTCCTCCAGTAACTTGTTATGTGTACGTGACAGGGCCAAACATAGCAAGGGAACTTGCATCTGCATTGAAGGGAATCGATGTAATAAAGGGAGGCTTAGAAAAATGCACTTCATTTATTTGTCCAGAAGGGGCACTATTAAGATACGTACAGTTTGGATATTAGAAAGTTGATATTGAAGCCCTATAATTGTCTTGTTTATGTTACATATGAATGTTTTTGTGATTGTTGTTCTTTGTTCTCTGTTCTCTATTGTAGAAGAGGCTCAGCAGGAGGGAAAGGGAGTGCTAATTCACTGCCAGGCTGGGGTGTCCCGATCAGCAACCGTGGTTATTGCATACCTGATGAAGCACACCCTGATGACAGTAGGAGACGCTTATAAGTTTGTGAAAGGGAAACGTCCTATCATTTCTCCCAATCTGAACTTCATGGGGCAGCTTCTAGAGTTTGAGTCCGATCTGAACGCTGGGATCACCCCAAGGATCCTCATCCCCAGACTGAGAGGTGTGGAGACAGATGTATAAGATTTGGGGTGGGGAGTGAGGAAAAGTGGGGAAAGCGCAAATATACATGACTTGTAATAAACCAATGGGAAAAGGGATTTGCAGAGATTGTGTGAAAAGAATAGGATGATCTGAGATGAAAATCAGCAATTTATAAACCTAAAGAGACAAACAATATTATATTTTCAATAACCTGCAATGCCAAAACCCAAAATCCCACACTTTCCAATATCGGCATCTTCTACATCCTACAAGACACATACACTTTGGACATGTAATTCTACATTTCACACAACTTGCATCCTCAGAACCCTGAGGATATGCCATATGTCACAAAAGGATACAGAACCATATATAGTCTATATATAACTATAGACCAAACATGAACTACAGCTGAATGTCCCCTTTGATGCTTTCTCTCCTGGAGCTCCTGATTCAACATAATGGACAGTTTTACAAATAAGGATCCATATTAACACAAAGATGAATCAGATTTTTTTTTACCTCCATGAACAAGGGAACCTCTTAACTTACACAATTGAAAGTTCACGAGCTGTAAGATAGCCAGAACCCAAACTGTGCAATAGGGGTAACCAGACTTTCTCATTCATTATTGTGTGCAACTGCTCAAAACATAAGCTAGGTACATGTTGTTTGTTTGTTTGGTTGTTTGTTAGTTTTGTTGTTGTTTTTTTTCCAATTGTGGGTAGGTGTAGTCCAAAAAAAAGTAAGACATATTTGTCCCTCACTGCCTTACATGTGTTGCAGCATCCTGCAACAATATGGATATATACATTTTTACTCATACTCTAAACTAACATGCTTCTCAAGAGGTGGAACAGCTTCAGATACAACAACCCTGAATCTATTACAAAAAAAAAATATTCTAAAAAAACAACTGCCTTTGATTCCTGAAGATGAGCAGTAGCACTGGAAAAAAAATAACATTTCTGTGATAATTCACACAGTGCAAAGCTTCATGCATACAGGACTTTCACATGTGTCACAGGACTAGACTGCACATTCATAAATTCTATGGTACATACAGCTACATAAAGCTACAACCCTTTAAAAGCCCCAGTCTGAAAATTAACAAAAAGCTGTATTCATAGACCTCACAAAGTCCCATATTTGTCATCCAACAAAACCTGCTTCGAAATCCCCCCCAAAAAACTACAATCATCATGTTGTTGATAGCCCCCAGACTAGGGCCATACACAAACTGCAGACTACAGCTGTCCTATATTCACCTGTCCTATGTGATTTGTAGCTCTCTAACACAACAAAAACTGCCTCTTAATAGTCCACGTTCCCAGGCTACAGTTTGCAAGAGTCACATAAGTCACGGCTTTCAATGATACAAAGCCTGCCTCCTATACACCATAGCAGATGCATGTGCAGACTGCAGTTATACAAACATAGTTCACAATGCTGTCTAATCTGCATTCGCATAACCACACTGTAAAATACAACACGATGCTTAGACCTTACGTCTAGAAACCTATCATTCTCAGACAGCACAGCCTTTGACTGCACAATATGAATGCTTCTAAAGCTTCAGTCCCTGCAAACCCGCATTTACAGATGACAATCTGCACGCCAGTATCCCATACAAGACGCCTCTAATTATTGACTAGCTATAACACACTATTAAATGATTGGGTGTGATTTAAAAAAATATATATATATTTGCATTAGAAAAATGCTGTGCAGGCTTTGTCTAGCAATATGTACACACACTTTGCAATTTCAGATTCACCAAAGGGTTATTATAGTGCAGGACAGTGTTTGTTTGTTTTTAACCCTTTAAGGACCGATATTTCCATACACTGCTAACAATCTAATCTTTTAAAATCATATTTCAATATTGTATGCCTAAGTCATTTAATGGAAGCAGAGCTTTATATAGTTGCCAGTGCTTAGTAAGTAGGAAATCTCACACAAGCAAAAGTCTTGGTGCAAGAGATTTTATGACTGCAAAGGACATAATTGGTTCTTAAGGGGTTAAACCAACTCATTTTGAAGTCAGAGAGAAAAGGAAGACAAAACAGGTATACAGCTGTGGATGCATAAAACAATCACTATAAATTCATGTCAGTGCAGATGCATTTGCATTTCAACAGGATTTTTCCTTTTGAAACGCAAAATTAATAACCTTAATATGCAATAATACACAAACTCTTAATATGCACACATGCATATATTCTCCTACTTTCACATGCTGTTGTGTTATATCATGTGTACTTGCAGACATTGTACAGACATTGCACACAACGTGTTATCATAGAGTTGCACTAAATTTTACTATGGATTACAGTGCATCTCTATGGTTTATTTAGGTTTTTTTTTTCCCTTCAATGACAGCAACACCTCCAGCACACCATGATGCAGGAAACAGCAGCATGACATAAAAAATGTAACAATAAAAAAAAAAAAAACAACAATGCTCCAATCCCAATTTTAATGCACCGTGAGACAGTGCAGCGTAGGTGAAATTTACTCATTTGTAAACCCTGTTCAGTTCAAATGTACTTTAATCCCCAAATATTGTGGTAATCAGATTACAGTTCCTGTCCAAAAGTCTAACAACATTTTTAATTACAAATGGTACGCCTTCTTTATAGAAAAGAGATTTGTTTATACATACATATCTATGTATGTGTGTGTGTGTATGTGTAAGTGTACATTTTTTTTCTTATCTACACATTTTTTTGTACGCCAGAATTTTTATCTACTCATACACGTATGGCAAATCAGAAAATAATTAGACCCGCAAGCATGATTAGAATCCCTGGTTACAAATATTCACCAATATGAAGAGATTAGAGAACATTAAGCTTGGGAAGAACAGGGTAATCCTTCTTTAAATGACGGACGTAGACTTGGTTGCACAGCAGAGAACTGGAACACACATCGGAAAGGAGAGAGAATGAATGAAGCTAGGATTTTTTTTTACAAAACAAATGGACAATATTTTTTTAATAAAATATTTTGCAACACAAATCATTATGTGCAATAAGGATGTAATACTAATGTGCTTTTATATTATACTGGGGAAACGTGGGAAATTGAACGGATATGTAGCACCCTGTATCCTCCTGCCCACTGGAGGGGTATTCTCTTTTCATCCCAGAACTGTGTCTTAAATCTCTTCCATGAGGGAGACTGAATTACCTCGGGCATTAAATTCCCTTATTACACTGTGAAACTGGACAGACTTTGAAATACCCAAACTGAGGGTAATACAAGGTGCCCCTTACATCATTGAACCCTGTGTTGTTCCTTTAATTTTTTTCTGGGGAACATATAGTATTTATTTATTGGTGAACCTAAGCTATTTATTGAAATAAAATTGTTTTTTGATATTGAATTATGTATATTTTCATTATATTGTTTATATAAATTATGCATATGTCCTGGTTATCCAGGCTATGGTAGAAGGGGCCAGAACATGAATATAAATATCTCAATCATATGTTATTTCCCTAATGAAGAATACACTAAGGTCACATGTCCTACAACATGCTTGTTCACATATAACCGCATTTTGTAGTGCTCTATGCATGAATAGGTGCCTTTAAAAGTGAGTATCAGGACGCTAGCAGCAATTAGGATTGTTTGAGGAAATCTCTTTGTGCCCATACATGTAGCGGAGTGATTCGTATTGATTTTTATTTATTTTTGGTCATTCTTTCTTTTATTGAGGCATGTGAATAATACAGAATAAAGGAAAGGCAAATGAATTATAGCAGATAATGGTACACACATATTACTATAGACACCCTGGTACAAGCTCCTGCGTTAAGTGGCGTAATTTTTAGAATAAAATAACAAGAAGAGTCAAGTTAGGCAAACACGTCTTAAGTAGATTACAAGAGTGGTATCTTGATTAAGTTGGGACATGAGTATTATGATGTAGGAAAAAAGCATGCTTAGTATATTATGCATATTAAGGTTCGCTCATTGGTTTTAGTTGATCATTCTACCCATGTAGCAATCAGAGGGTAGAGTTACTTGAGAAAACTTTCAATAGGCATACAGGCTAGCAATGGGGAGCTAGTATAAACTGTAGAGGGTTAGTATGCACTCTAGCCCTCATTGTAATGAATTTGGAAACCCAACACACAGAATAATGATCCTCCTAAAGGTACAATGTAAATACCTAAACCGGACCTTAGAATGGCCGGACAAAGGGAGCCAGAGAACAACCAAAACGAAATACCAGAGCCGAATCATGGGAACCAGAAATCAGAGTAGTCAGGAAAAAGTCGAGTCAATAGCAAAATAGCACAAAACCACATACAAACGCACTGTTGGGACACTATTAAACTACGAACCACAACAGGACACTGAGACACTGGCTAAATGTGCTTTTATATGTTTGGGGGCGTAATTGATGTAGTCACGCCCCCAAGATGTGAGAGGGCGTCTGTAAATCCAGCCCTTAGTACTGCCCTTTGCTTAACGTCGGCACGCGTGCGCCGCGTCATAAAAAGGGGCGTGCGCACAGCGGCTGGCGTCCAGGATATTAGCCAATTGGGCAGGAAGACTGGAGGAGGCGGTCCGCCTGATCGGAGAAACACCTGAACGGCGGACCGCCAAGGTAAGTATAGGATTCGTAACACTCATGCTACAGCCATAGAGAATATTAAGTTGTAAGGTAGATATGCAGGATAAGAAAAGTGAGAGCATAAAATAACTATAAGAACATGTGGTTGGAATAAGAAGCCAAAAAGAAAACGTGAAGCCAGAACCCACAGGAATGGTGAGAGCTGTGGGACTAAGGGATATTAAAAAGACCAGAAGGTTCAGCACACACCCATCATATAATGGGCACTGCCCCAACAAGGAAAAAGACTCATGACTCTTACATCTCCACCACACCAGCCACAGGCTTCTTCACAGCCCTATGCACCAGTCTCACTAGTCCCAGCATGAATTATGACCAGGACTTGGTCTTGAGGCCCTTTGGGAGGTTGCTCCAGCTCTCGTTTAGTACCTTCCGAGGTAGTGAGCAGTGTCCAGGTATGTATCCCAGTTTGGGTCATGGCCCAGGAAGTCAGTAGATCATTGCTAGGTTGAGCCTTCCGGCGCTAAAGTGATTTCTGTGGCACCAGCTTCTGCTTTCCTGCTTTTAGTACGTCAGAGCGTCGCCCAGGAGCTGCCGAGTGGTGCAAGGTAAGGATGGCGTGGGCAGGACTTCAGCAGGCGATGGGCCAGAGTGGACCAAAAGATCGTAAATAGGTTGTCCAGCTTTTCCAAAATGGTCAGTTGTCAGTCTTAAGATGCTGGGTTGCATAGTTACAGCATGCCAGCTGCTACAGGTGAGTGGTCATAGGATCGTCACCAATGAGGCACGGATGAAAGGTGCCTGGATAGCCTGAACTGGGAAAGAGGGATATAAGATAGGTCTCAGAAGAGGTGTGTGGCAATAGGCTGAGGGATCAGCCACCTCCCTCGTGGTCACTTTTAGTAGCCCTCTGGTAGGCCGCAGGTCCACCTCAGGAGAATGCCGTCTATCTCGGTCATAAACACAGAGAGGTTGATTACAGAGGGTGCCTCTCGACTCCAGTTTTGGGGAAATAATTTAAATCAGTCTTTTGTGAAAAATGTGTTGGGTACCAACAACTTGGGTACGGTAGGCCTAACATAACACTTCAAGACATGCAATCGACAGGTACACAGTGTAACAAACCACCTCTTTTACAGGTAGGATTGTCAGATCTTGCAGTAACCACAGCCTTCTAGGGTATACAAAGTCCAGGACACATTCAGCTCAGTTTTCCTTTTTATTTGATAAAAAGCAGGTGCTTTAAATAATAACAAACAAACAAAATCCCTTGCTCTTACTAGACAGGAATTACTATCTGTAATTGGGTGGCTTTCCCACTTACCAATTTTCCAAAAAAAAGAAATGGCTTTGCAATAAACACAATTGTTGTTCTCTCTCCTAGCTGGCTTTTTCTCCCTCACTCTGCAGCAGGCTGCTCTCTTCTTTTAAAGGCCTGTCTACTAATTGACTAGCTACAGGTGAGTGCCAATTAGTAAACTCTTAAGTCAGATCCAAATTCTGGTCTGTTACACAGCAACTAGTGCTGTTGGAGCATTGGCCCACCCTGCTCTCCAAATACTCCGCCCCAGGGACCCATACCATGTTTTGCAGAGCATCAGCTATGCATATTGCAAACTTTAACATCTCTCCCTGGGGCATTTAACTGAAAATTCTCTGGTTGCTGTTTAGCAAATCAGGCCTGATGTATCTTCCATCAACTACTATTCCACTTTTACGCTCACAACAGGCATCATGGCATTAACTCGTATAGTAAACTGGCTAAGCTGAATTCTAATAGAAAAAGCGAACGATGCCTCACGAAAATCTGAGAACAGAAAACACTCCTTGAACTTTCCATAAGTCTTGACGGAGCCTCAGCTCATGTTGATTATCGTATATACTCGTGTATAAGTCGAGAAATTTTAGTCCTGAACTTAATTTTAAAATGCAGAGTGGACTTATTCATGGGTCAGTACTAGTTTCGATAGAATTTTGTACATTGAATGATGGGCAATGTCGACTCCCAATGTCGTTCGACTTCCAAACGCCGTTTTCCTAGCTGGTCTTGAAATCGTAAGGGCAGGGGTACAAGTTTCAGTGGGGTTCGCGGGCTTGCGTAGTGGACTCAGAGATCCATGCCGTCAACGACCATGTACCGCTGCCGCTGCGTACGAATGGCGGCCACCCAAGGGAATGCTTGTTTGCAGTTAACAGCCAGGGGTGGTCGGTGATTATGAGGAAGAGGGACCACACAGAGTCTGTTCGGTAACCAAAGAGAAGAACAATTTCATTCGAAAGTCGTACCCTCGACTTATCCATGAGTCATAGCATATTTCACAATTGTTGATCAAAAAACTGCACTCGACTTATACACGAGATCGACTTATAGACGATTATATACGGTAGTTAAATGTTTTAATGGGTCTGGTTAGGTAAAAAAAAAAAGCACAATTGTATTTTTTTATAAGGAATCACCCATGAGGTTTGGTTGTCTCTGGGCCTGCTATGGAACTAATGCCCAGTCCTAATTTTTGAAAAAGTTGATCAACCTTTGATGTTTCACTGATTCTATACATAGATCTGTGTTTAATAATAAGCAGATAGTGATGGTAGGTCATATGCCCTTATTGAGGTCCAAAGAGACCTCTTTGACTGCCTGCACTCATCTCACAATGGTATGCATTTCTTCTGTGCCTGCTGCCAAATCTGTGATGAATTATCATCTAGTATCCTTCAGGAGATACCTAATTCCTAGATAGTTGTAAGGAACTCACTATCTTCCTCTGATCAGCAATCATTAAGGCCCTAAGGTTTGAATCTGCTGTGTCTAAGAGCAAAATCCAAAATACACTGATCCTGTGTAGTGGAGGTCTTTTGGCTTTTGCTAGAGAGCCTTTTACAGGCCAGAGAAACAAATATTCCATATTGTGGGATTATCATACCCTTCTACTTAGACTTTCTTCTCATTGTGTCTAAAAGTATATCTTCCAGTTTTGGAATAAACTAATCAGGTAATGAGATGCAAAATATATAACTGAAATACAATCTCTGAGCAATTTGAGTATGAACCTGTTGAGTATGAACACTAGATCTGCCCCCCAATTTGTATTGCTTTTAAATATGGGAAAAATTAATTTTACGTATACATTTACAAGCACAACACATTATTATCTATAAAATACACATAACGTTTGTATGACAGCTGCAATAAAAAAGTTCCCTTTAAATGTCAGTTTGTCTCCTTTTTTAGAGAGTGAGCTGTTGTAGTAAAGATTATGAGATAAATTGATGTCACAGACTCATTCAGGTTGCATATAAAATAATAGTGCACAATTCAGGATATTCTTGTCCTCCAGAAGAAAGGCCAGAATGTAACCCGTATGAAGGTCTAGTCTCCATTCACAGTTCAAATGCAACCTGGATGTAAGCAGAATCTCTTGAAAAGACTACCAAAGCATATTCTGAACATGACTGCTGACCCGGACCAAAACCTCCACCACCCGTTGCCCAATAAATGCACAACACCTTTTGTATGGGTAAGGGCAACAGCCACAGCTTTATTAATAGATTATCGCCAGCTTCCACAACCTGTCAGCTGTTGGGGGATTACCAACAGACAGCTCTATCAAAATGACCCTCGAGTCAGGAGCAGCCTGCCCCCGCCATCAGCTCTCAGCAGGCTGCGACTCCCCAAGCCGCTTGGGCACTTCCTTCCAATTCTCTTCGATGGCCAGGACTACCGCAACCGCGGTTCCTCCCATCCTACTCCCCTGGGAGGGACCGCGCTCCCACACAGCCAGCGCCTCCTCAATACCAGACTGTAGTCCCGCATTCAGGATATCCAACTCTATCAGGGAGAGGTGTACCCTATCCTTACGCATCAGGTTGGAGTTGTCCCCCTCCAGTTCTTTGTGCCTAACGACAAACCCGCCGATGCGGCGGACACATTTTCCAATGGCCACATTTAGCTTGCGCCTACTACGCTCCACGCCCTTTGCATGAGGAAGCGTATGCCAACACGGTCTGGACACTATGTCCGACCAAATGAAGAGGGCCATACAACGAGCCAGATCATGCCTAATTGCATGCAGGAGGTCCACTGACCTGCTGCGCCCTAGATCATTACCCCCTGCATGAATAACCAGAGTCACTGGCCCCGACACGTACCTACGAAGGGATACACACTCAGAACACACCTGCCGCCATAACATACCCCTAAAACCCCTCCACCTTACCCTGGCTATATCGTAGGGAAAACACAAATTTCTCCCATAGGGACGCTCCTTAGCTCACTGCGCTGCCCAATACACGAATAAATGTCTCAATATCCAAATGCAGCGGGGTTGAGGACCTACGGAGAAATTGCATTATAATAAATTAGGTCTGACATAGGACCTGTAGCGGTTTGAACCCCATCTACCCAAGCGCTGAAACGCTGCGTCTGAGTAACCTCAAAAACTAGCCTGGGTGGCTGCCCCTATCCGAAAAGAATGAGCCAAGTACTTGAAAGGATTTATCCCGCACTCAGCCAGCGCAGCATGGAACCTGGTCGAGAACTGGTAGTGTGTGAGGGGGGACCCATCCCTATGAACCAGAAAGGAGAGACACCTCACCGGCCTAATCTGCAAATAATCCAAGAAGAGACGGACCAAATAAAACACACCACCTGTAGCGCCGATACGTACCCATGAACCCTGGGTCTATCTTGGAACGCCTGATGAAGACATCTACATAGTCCTCGGACCACCGGATATCCACCAGCAAAAGCGGGCCGACCGCCCTTCGGTTGCATGCAACCAATTCGCCCACCCGAAAAGCTCCAAAAAAACAGAATGGAAATGAAACCCGAAATAATGAGGCTTCGTAGTCCGAGAGACAAACCGCCCCCAAGGCCAAACTGGATCCGCCCCAGCAAGTCAGCTGACACCGGGCGGCGGTGGTCTGGGGCCCTTCTAAGTCTCCAACCCCAGATTACTCGCTGGATACCAAACCCCCGTGAAACGTCTTGCCAGCCCATAAACCTACACAGGGAAGATAGAGCGGTCAATGACTTTTCGGCCGCAGAGCAGGACTTAGCATCGTCTCCAGCATCGTCAGAGTCGCCTCCAATTGCCCGGACTCCTACCCCAGCACCAGGCCCTGCGAGAACGAGGACAGCCGTGTCCGCCAGACAGCTTGATATGCCTTCCACGAAGAGTCAGATAAGGAGTCTGACACCAAGCTTCTCAATCCTCCAAATCGATCTCCCATAAGGAAACCGGACATTTGATACCCACTGCCAACGCAGCAGGCGCTGACTCCCGAAAACAGTCCCACTGAAACCAAGAAAGAGAGAGTCAGCTACCACGTTATGAACACCCGGGACATGACATGCTTTTATCCAAATATTAAATTTTAAGGAAAGGAGGACCAACCGGCGCAGCAGCGCAAAAACCAGAGGGGAACTGGAGGAGGAGGAGCGGTTTTTCACATGGACGACACTCATGTTGTCCGTGTGAAAAACCACTGTCTTGTTGCCAAGAGCCTCCCCCCAGAGCTCCAAGGAGACCACGGCAGGAAACAGCTCTAAAAACGTCAGACATCGCATCACGTCCAAGCCCAGCCATTTTGCTGGCCATGCCTCCGCGCACCATTTGCCCTGGAAGTACGCCCCAAACCCCACGGTGCTGGACGCGTCCATGAATAGGTTCAACCAGCAGAAGCGACCATTGTAGCACTCCAAAAAGGAGCTCCACACCTGAAGGTCCGCGCGCAAAAGCCATGTGACCCGAATAAAATGAAAGGGCTCCCGAACCCCTACTGTGGACAGAGAAAGGCGCCTGCAGAAAACCCGCCTCATGGGAAGAACTCGGCACGCAAAGCCAAGTGCCCCAGAAGCACCTGCATTTGTCGCAACTGTACCTTCCTCGCCCCGCGAACCAGGTCAACCAGTCGCAAGAGGACCGACAATTTGTCTTCCGGCAGACGGAAAACCATACCGACAGAGTCGATCTCTATCCCTAGAAACGACAGAACCTGAACCGGGCCCACCGTCTTAGCCTCCGCGATGGGGACCCCAAAATATCCCATGACTGCCCGAAACGCTTATAAGAGCCGCTCACACTCACCCGAACCGGGTGTGCCGACGAATAGAAAGTTGTCCAGGTAATGAGAAGCCGATGCCAAACCCGCCTCCTGTATCATAACCCATTTGAGAAAACACGAAAACATTTAGAAATAAAAACAAGAAATTGAACAGCCCATGGGTAAACATGTCGTAGTAAAAAAAAAAAAAACCCGGAAAAAAACTGCCTAACAGTTGAAAACAGGAGGGGTGAACAGGCAAAAGACGGAAAGCTGATGCGATGTCGGATTTTGCCAATGAAGTGCCTTGACCGACACGACGAACCAACTCCAAAGCCCTGTCGAATGCTGCGTATCGCACGCGACAAATGTCCTTTCCAATGGCATAATTTACAGACCCACCCGACGGATAGGACAGGTGCCTATCCAACCGAAAGGAACCCGCTTCCTTTTTGGGAACCAGGCCCATAGGGGAGATGCGTAAATTAGAAAAAGGTGGAACAGTAAATGGGCCAGCCATGCATCCCGCCTGCATGCAACTTTTCTTGCAAAATCTCTTCCTTGCCCTTAACCGAGCGGAGATTTTCCGCAAACTGAGGCAAGGAAGAGGGAACAAAAGGGATCCAGAAACCCACCTGAAAACCGTTGAACAAGATCTGCACATCGCAACCTCTATGATACCGGGGGAGCCAAGGGCGCATCTTTAGGATGTCCACCGGTGTCCTCTCCCTTAGGTATGTCGTCTCCAGAGGGACCCTTTCCGGACAGCGGCTTCCCCTTTCTGAAGCAGTGCACTGGGTGCGCTCCCCCGCTGTGTGCACATTCGTGGCGAAACCTACAAGAGCTGTACCAGCGGCAGTGGCTCACGTTAAAGAGTCAGCCCAAATTTATTTTGCCCTGCAGAGGAGCCGGAGGTCCCTCCGGCAGGCCCAGGAAAGGGAGATGGTCTACTGGGAGTCATATTTAACAGCCAGAGACTACCATCCTGAATGCCAAAATCCATACCTGGGCACACCACCATTTTTTGACGAAATTGCTGGTCATACCCATACCAGCATTGTCCCCCGTAGATTTTATATGCCCCCCAGATTAGGTCGAGGTAGCCAAATAGTGAAGGGGCCTTGTCAGGGAAACGGCGCACCAGGATGCTAAAGAAAACATTAAAACCTTGCAACCAATTGCCAAAGGTCCTGGGGATATGCTTACCCTTATCCGCCTCTGGGACTTCACCCAGACGCGGTCTGTCCATGGAATCCTTGTCGGGAGAGACCAAGGACAGCAGATCCACGTACTCACCTCTCCAAATTTTTTCTTGGATATCCTGCGGAACATGCAACCCCAAAGGAGCTAGCTCACATCCCACGGTACCCATGTGAAATGCCCCTGCGGCCGGCTGACC